GCCTTGTGAGATTCAGCCCCTGCAGGAGTGAACATTGTCTCATAAAATTGTATTGTTAACAATGAAATTGATCCACATACTCTACTTTTTTATTCATATTGTCACCACATTTATCAACACTGAACAATATTTTTTATAAAACAGTATAGCTGATGCAAATTCATGCATCACATAATAAAGTAAACTGATTTTTAAGAACATTTTAATGTACAATATTTAAGAATTCCCAACTGATATTAAAGTAAATAATTATAGTCAAAAAATTTTCACCAAACATCTTTAGGTTAGTAAATTGACAAAAAAAGCTATATAGTGTATGCTTTCACAACAAAGTCACTTGACTATGTATTTGAAGTTGCTTTGCTCAAGGATAATTAAGGTATAAGAAGTTTAAACCTACCAAGTGAACAATGTTTTTCTCCTTTGGGGAAGTAAAATTGTCATTAAGTACACAATTTTGGGAGACATGTGGTGCTACTAAGGCAAATTAAGTAGGGTACATATGTAAAAAAAGCACTGCATTGCAGCAAGAGTGAATAATGTGTTGTAGCTGTATTTTGTTAATGTGTCTTATTGCATGTATTAATTTCCAGTAAACTATCGACCTTGATTGATGCTCAGTCAGCAGCTCAGCTAGTGTACTATATGGTACAGTACTTTTTAATGCAATCTAGTAATCCATATAAAACCTAATATAAGAATATAAAATAATATTTTTGTTATCAATTACAGTAGCACATTGGTTACAGTAATAGGCAATTATTTTGTCACTTCTAAAAACATTTTTATGTGGGAACAAAGCTATAGGTGGCAGTATGCACAGAACATAAATTAACATAACTTGATAGTTCTCTTCAATGGGTTTAGTCAAAATTTCGTATTAAAAATCTAAATTCATAAACGTACTAATATTTTACATCACAATGTTAATTCTAATTCGTAAGTATTTTTAATATTATCATTAATAACTCATAACGGTTTTTGTCCAGACAAATGCGTCGGTATAGACCACTCCGGGCTCTTCACGCGTATTATTAACAATGCCACTCCTTACACTTATTGGCATTGACTTTATGGTATTTGCGAATTGTTGGAATCTTCTCAAAATGATTAAAAACTTTTTCAATATCCAATAATGTCCTCTATATTTTATTTTTGTCTTGAAAGTGTTATCAACGCAAATTATAAACAAATTTTAACTATTTACCCGCCGAAAAAATGTGTGCCGCCATTTTGATTTTTCTTTTGACCAGGAATCCTGGTAAAGTGATGTTAGACAAAAACTGAATCAGTAAGTCAACCAAAATCCTGGTCGATTGAAGTATGTTTAACCCATTTGTGGTTGAAATTCATTGAACCCGGATTTTTTAACCAGGGTGTTTTTAGAGTACAATTGTAAAATGCAGCTTCACTGCCTGTAACTTTTAAGCGTGTATTGAAACACAAAATGATGCTAGTTTGATTTTCTTTTAACGCTATTTGTTTTGCCGGGATGAAGCGATTGCACGGAAAATTTCATCCCGACAAACCGCGTTAGCCTAACTCATTACAAGAATTATTACCGAATAAGATTAATAGACCTTTAAGGCAGGGAGGTCACGAGATTGAGCTGCCTTTAGTAAGAACTGAACGTTATAAACGCTCTTTTATTAACAGATGTCTTTATAAATTTGTATGATAAGATCTTATTCGTTACTTATTCTTAGACTACTTAATAATATGTAAATAGTGGTAAAAATGTTTTATATCGATACATTAATCCTTAAAAATCCTGTAAACTCAAACGTGTGATTTGAGTATAGTTTTAAATTATCTTAATAAAGACTACTATCTATATATCTAGCCGCTTGCGACAAATGAGATATTGGCAAAGCAGGCTGGCGCGGCTGCCATATAATCTTTATAAAATTTATCAAATATTATTATAGTATAAGAAGGCTAGCCCAGTTTAACTGGCTTTTGCCCGGCTAGCCCCCATGCCATGCAAATAAAATGCAATTTCATATCTTTGCAGACTTGATGAAATTGAAACGTATTAATATTCAAAAACAACGAGGAAGGAAATCTGCAAGTCACAACAAGAAATCTGATGCACTTATTTCAAGATTTGCAGCTGGCTTCTGCTTTGATTTTCATCCAAGTGATTGCAATGTGTGAGTACACCAAGTTCTATATACACTGCACAAATACATGCAGTCAGCTCACCCATAATTATATGCAATGACAGCAATACAACCCTTGACCATCATACAACATCTATAAAGTTACAAATTCTACTGTAAAATGTCTAAAATGTACTTTATAGTGTACATATCTTCCACTGTACTTCATGGACATGAACTGTATAAGATTATTCTTCATGTAATACCTACGTATTTTGTTTTTAAGATATATCATTGGCACTGAAGAAGGTCATATTCACAAATGTTCATGTTCGTATAATGAACAATATCTGGAGTCATATGTTGGTCATACGGTCAGTATTTTATACACGCGATTGAACTTAAATCAGTGAAATGAATATAACTGGAATGCTACCTCCAACCAGAAATTTGAAGCCAAATTTGAAGGCTAGTCCCAGTCTTTTCACGCATGCAAAGAGCGTGGTCAATCCGTCAACATGAATATGTATTTTTGAAAATCGGCTTAAAATTATCAAAAAAGCTTTCTAACAGCGCCCAAAGCTTTCTGTCAATGAATTTGTTTAGGTAATACTTCCTAGTAGACTTTACTTTTAGTTTTTTTTTTCTAGTATTTGTTTACGCGAGAGAATCGTGAGGCATAAACACGCAGGTCTTGACTCGCAGCGTTTCAGTTACATTCATTTCACTGCTTAAAGTGCATCAAACATGGGTTTAAGTTTCATAATGTAGAAAAATATTCTATTCGTTGATTGTTGAGTTGACTCGTAATTTTTACCATACATACAGTGAGGACACGGGCCCTGCCTCTGACCATATTTTCAACTGATTTCTGCGGTAAGATCTACCAACTGCTAGTTTCAATCAGGGGTGTAGAAACCCGTACGAATGAAGTTAACATCAATGTATAACCAGAATACCAAAAATGTATGTTTTATGTACTTTTGTTGTTTAGTTTTCAGCTTGATAGTTATTAATATTTTACAAACGCGGCTGAGTATCGAGTTAGCAACCTGGAGGTTAATAGTTATTGGATTTTTCAGGGTCCTGTATATGAATTAAAATGGTCTCCATTTCTACCGGATGTATTTCTGAGCTGTAGTGCAGACTGGAGTGTTAAGTTATGGCATCAAGATAGTCCTTCTCCTATTTATACTTTTACTTCTTCCACGGTGAGTTTTTACTACTAGTTTTCAGTAACAGTTCTGAAGCCTTCTTCGTTCAGTATGTAATTATCTGATCGTATAAACTTCCACGTTTGAAAGACAAAAGCCCTTCGTTCGAAACATCGAAATTTCTACTTTCCATTTTGTTAAATACATCTTTAACAGAAAACGCTAGCGAGTGAACGCTACCTCCACTGTAACCCCACATTTGAGATATTAGTTTATCCTGAGTATGTTATTCTACATGAACTTTAAAATAAAACTGACAACAAAAAACATCCCATTATAAGCTCTTTGGTGGTTCTCTTATTTTAATTGATCTTTCCTTGACAAATCGGCCTGTCATGGCCATTGAACTATAAATAAACTGGAAGGCTAACTGCTATGATGAAGGCCTATGATTTGATGAAGCCAAAATAGTTTTTCTGAGTTATGAGCAGAAATACTTGACCCCAAACGTCGGGCAATATATCAAATTGAAGCTATTGAAAATTGCTATTTGGTGTGGAAATTTCAAGACTTCAGCGAAAAGAAAAATATTTCAAAAATACAAAAACAACTGCAAAACGGCAATTTATCGGTAATTATGTTTGTAGTTTTTCAACATTTCCCTTTTAGCTAAAGTCTAGAAATTTCTACACCAAATAGCGTTTTTCAATAGCTTCAATTTGATATATAGCCCAACGTTCAGTGTTGAATATTTCTGCTCATAACTCAGAAAAACTAAAATGCACTGGTTTCCCACCTTCCGAGTTAGCCTTCCAGTTTATTTATAGTTCAATGGTCATGGCTGGCTACTGGGACTCGGTGTCATGGCTACTATAAGCCAGATGAAATCAAGATAATCAATATTCTGTACTTTACTTGCTGTTATTACGAAGGGATACCGGTGTGTTACACATGCTGGCCTAAGTGTGACTATTATAACAGAGTGGATTAACATGACGTTGGATAGGACCTCCCTCCCAGAAGCGTAGCTGCCAAGAAAATACAGAGTACATACACCTGTTTGTAAAATGAGGACTGTATTCTGATTTTCTATTCCAGAATTCTGTCAACAGTATCTGCTGGTCTCCTATTTCGTCCACGATATTTGGCTGTGTCCATGAAGGGGCTATTGAAGTATGGGATCTACGACAAAGCACGTAAGCATGTTAACCACAGCATTATTTTTGCTCCAATCAATATTACAACACTTTGATGGAAGTATAGGCCTACTTTTTATTAAAGCGTCATTGCTTGGTTGATAATGAATGAGGAATAATCTTTTTGAGGAAGTGCGAAACATGTACTAAAAATTACACCTCTGAAAGTGAAATCCTTAAAACAACGTTTAAATTGATTCCTTGTTCACTTTGCTCAGTCGCGAAACCCACTGATAAGTATAGGTAATAATAGCATGGTTTCGAGTGCAATTTGGATGTAACATCCACGAGTGAGTTTTTCAAAGACCTCGAAATAGATGAGGTCTTTGAATAACTCACGAGTGCATGTTTATCCAAATTTCACGAGAAACCATGCTATTACTTATTAAAATGCGTATTATTACATAAAAATGTTCGAGACAATTGTAGTTTTAACTTACGCGTTTATAGCGAACATTCCACTGGCAAAGTTTTCCTGGCTTTGTTATATCACATACAACGCTAACATGCAGCTTGAAAATTCCATTCAACTATGTAATTTTTGTTAGTGTTGTTGAAGGCATGGTTGTTATAAGACCTGGTTAGGAAACCCGGCAAACTTCAAAGAAATTACGCTACAAACAAACATGGAGGTTGAACAGTCAGTTTGACCCTGCACATATTGGTTTTGATCAATGAGAATTGACCAAACGATGTAACACAAACATTCTCCATCGAAAAATGGTAGTAATACTTCGTTATTTGCAAAATATGCCGTAAGATATAGCCCTGGTAGGCAAAACAAATAATTGGTACCCATTCCCTTCGCCATGCTTTCTGAACTGACTATTGTCAAACAATAGAAAGACAAAGGATTTTTCAACCGTGACCCTGCACAAGGTACACAATCACCTAAAACAAAGGGTTTCCAAACCATGTCATATATATTAACTATGTTTAATAAGGTAACGCTTTTCCATTTAAAAATAAAGATAAAAGCCATATTTTCCACGCGAAGGCAACTTTTACTTTGTGTAGCGCCCATGTTTGTTTTGTTTTGAAGCAATCTGTGACCGTTATTTCTTTAAACTAAATTGCTTTAAACTGATTGGTTGATTTAATCATCACAATGTTTTTCCACCAATCAGATCAGTTTGTTACAGATTTTTGCACTGTGATTACAGAAAATTGCACTGTGATTACAGAAAATTGCACTGCTGTTTGGGATTAACTGCACCGAAATCAACCAATCACAGTCGAGTAATATCTTTATGTATATTATTAGCACGTTAACCAGCATTATTTTATTTTAGGCTGGATCCTTTAATTGTAAATACACCGCTACAAGAAGTTAAATTATCTTCCATTTCTTTTGCTTTGAATTCTAATGTGAGTACTAGTTGTGCTTTGATACCGTAGCATTGGTTTCAGCCATTGAAAGTATTCCTAACATTCAGTATAAGTAATAACAGCACCGCGTATTGGCTGCTTGGGCTCGAGTGGAAAGAGTTTTGTCTTCACGAAGCTCTTTAGAAAAAATGTAAAGACAATTGTAAATAGCAGTTACTTTCATCCTGCTCATCAGCACTACACTGATGAGGCCCATAAGGCCGAAACGGTACCGTCTGTAGTTAGATATCGCTCTATGGCCTTTAGGTCATAATAATTGAGCGCTCTACAGGATGAGCCATTGCTGCTTACGCATTGCGCACGCTCACTGCTTGCAGTTTGAGCGCTCTGGCATGGTATTGATGTCCCACATTCGTGAGGCATCAAAGGTAACTGTAAATAGCAGTTACTGTCATCCTGCTCATCAGCACTACACTGATGAGGCCCATAAGGCCGAAACGATATATATATATATCACCCCATGAAAATTTTTTGTATATAATGTATTTCGAGGAACGTTTTTTGGATTCTTGCGAGCTTAAACCTTGCGTTTGGTGGCATTTTTTGATGATGTTTTCATGATATATATATATATATATATATATATATATATATATATATATATATATATATATATATATATATATATATATATATATATATATATATATATATATATTCAATATTTCAATAAAGGTTGTCCTTCGCAAACTTTAAAACCTTAAACCTTAAACCCTAAGCGCGCAAAGCATGATGGGAGCACTGATTTCAAGCTTAGTAGTTGGTTATTGCAGCTGTTTGTCAGTGAAATGTTTTTGCAGGGAGATTTTTATCATGTCTCCAAGAAATGGGCTCCATAAATGTTTTCTAAACTGCTTAAATTATGCTCCCATTATGCTTTGCGCGCTTAGAGTTTTAGGTTTAAGGTTTTAGAGTTTAAGAGGCAGTCTCTGTAAAAGCGGTCCACTGCATTTCGGATCAGGAAATAGTTTTCTCCCAAACTTTTACCGTGTAATAGTACATACCAGTGAGTTATGAAACTGACTTTGGTTTTTCGATTTTCATAAAAAAAATTTTTTACTGCGCTTTAGTTCCAGGCGACCGTCTTCGCTGAATTTGCACTTTTCGTCAACTGAAAATTACACATATTTAAAACATTACAGCTCACGGAATATAGAACTCTGCACCAAGATCTTTTTTCCCAGTCTTGTTCATTCATTCAAGTGCAAAATTCAAGCGAAATTTTGAATGTCGAAAGAAATGTGGGGGGAGGAAAAATACGCAATGATACTCGTTTTACGGCTTTCCTAAAATCACGACAAACTGACCCTCAGAAAATAGCTTTGATCTCCTAAGTCCAGCACTGAAAACCTAAAGCTTCTACACCAATCTACTAATCTAAGGATGTATAAAAAGGATTGATAAAAACATTTTGCGCTTTTTGTTTAAATTCTGCACAACAACCTCGGACTTTCCGTGTTTTTGATGCAAAATATTAATTACATTTATTTATTTAATTAGGCGGTAAATATAAACTGCAATGAAAGACTGTTTATATTTGCCTCAATTTTATTGCATTCGGATTTAAAGCATTAAATATTTTCTTATTTTCAAATTTGAAGTTCAAGAAATTTATTACTAAATGGTGCCGGACGGCTTTGCTAGCTGAAGTGAAGTGTTTTATTGTTCGCGCAAAATACTTGACTGTTTATTATGCAAGCTTAATATTTTACCAAAATAGAATTTCAAAACAGCAATTCCATTTTTTACTCATGAAGTTCTAGTTCGGATAAAAACTTGTTAGAAGTATATATACAAACCAGACACAGTACTAAAATGCGGTGCCCGCCTACAAATAAAACTTCCGGCGTTTTCGCCTACAAGTAAAGTTATATTTAGTATGCTACATTTTCCTGCCGGCCGCCAGTTTGTCCATACACATTAGGATCAAAACTGCGCTTTAAAACCTTCAAAATAAAATATTTTGGGCTCAAAATACTATCAAAATGAAGAGAAAAGTGAGATGAATATACTGGCATATGGCCGAAAAGAGAAAACCAACGATACCAAAGTTATCAACTATCAAGGGTCAAACGTACTGCATTTTTAGTTAATTTAATAATTTTGAGCGATTTGTCAACAATACTATTTCGCTTATTAAAACTGCACTTTAAAGCCTTCAAAATAAAATAGTTTGGGCTCAAAATACTATCAAAATGAAGGGAAAAATGAGATGAATCCACTGGTATACGGCCGAAAACGAGAAAACCAACGATACGAAAGTTATCAAGAATCGAACGTACTGCATTTTTAATTAGTTTAGTAATTTTGAACGTTTGTCGACATGCAATGCAATCTCGCTCGACTTTCAAAGGCCATAAATCGCTAGAATTCTTTTGTTTAGTAACACATTTGACATCCATAAGTACAATTTCTTACGCTGAATTGAACGGTGGTATTTTTGTCCTTATTGGGCGCATAAAACCAGAGATAAGGCGCAGCAAAAAGTCTATCGTGAGAGTCCGAGATTAAAAATAGAAAAGAAAACTTTCCTCGAAAAAAGGAATTCGGAAAACGTGAAGGATTATTTTGAGCGGCTTGGCTTGTCTTTGAAAGGCCATAAATCGCTAGAATAGAAATCAATTTTCCATCCATAAATACAACTCGATTCTGAGAGTACAAGATAATTTAATTTTCCTGCAAAAATGAATAAATTTCGAGAACGTGCAAGGAATTTTTACTAGGCGATTAAGGAAACGTATTGATGCTAACAAACGGACAAACTA